TTCAGCGGTGAGTAGTAGCCAGCCACGTAACAGAGTACAGTTTGAGAGCGAGCAACGGTGTTGTACGGTTTTGTGTCGACCACATCGCAACACGTTGGCGGACAGTAGATTGCCAATCGAAGCAAGTGAACCACAGCCAATATCGCACAAATCCACCACAGTTGTAATATTGTCACTCCATCTATTGTACTTGTTGTTGTTCACGTCTGTGATTAGATTCTTGATAATGTATTCTTTCTTTTCCACTCCCTTAACATATACGATGCTGCGACACGAGAGGCAAGTGCGCAATTTATCGATCAACACGGAGTATGACACGTCACCGCGATTCCAGTCGAGTCCGTGACAATGTTTGGTCAACCAATAGGACTCTCTGAGTTTATCCGCAGTCAACGCGTCACGATCGAACGGCGCACGTGCGATGTGATGTAATAACAATGTGCCAGTCGACACGTCAACTACACTGGCTTCTTTCACTATGAAATCGTTGTTGTTGTCCTTGAAACACTGTAAGTCCAAAACCACAGCTGTGCAATCACTGTGCCTACATTGCTGCTGCTGCTGCTGTTTCTGTCGGTGCGACGGAGCTTGAAGGTAACAACGATCCATCACGATCAAAGGTCAGTGCGACACTGAGCTATGTGGTGGGGCAGCCGTGAATTTCTGTGTTGGTTCTTGTATTTAACCGCTGAAATCCACAGACACGTTGCGATGTCGGTCCACTTCGATTACATTGTCCATTTCGGCGTACACTATACAGTTGATGGAGGAGGCCAACGCTTCTTTGAATTGCAGTTCGATGCGCAAATTGCCGTTTCGTACCAGATTCCAGTGACTCGATTCGCCGGCCGACATGTCCGGCGTCAGGTCGAACGCCATCAGACAGTAGCCGTTCGGATAAGCCGATCTGCCGATCTCGTTGCCCTTGTCGGCGAACTGTATACCGGTGCCGGTGAACAGCGTGTGATAGGCGAGTGCGTAGAGTTTCGAGTCTCCCGTGAAGGCCGGTGTCAACGCCTTGCATGGCACTTGTTCACCGTCGATGTACAGAGCGAAATAGTTCAAATTGAAGTGTTGAAAATTAAATGGGTTTTTCTTGAAATCACCGTTGAACGCCACATTGTCCACCAATCCCACGATTATGCGTTTCGGCAACTGACCGAGAAACACACTGTCCAATGTCTTGCCCAGAATACCACTCGGTAGCGTGATGGATTTCACGTCCACACGTGTAATTGGATACTTGGCCGTACCACTTTCCAGCGTCTTGCTGTGCGCCACCAACACGCCGGGATTGATCTTACAACGACGCACAAACAGATTGGCCTCTCGAATGTGCACCTTGTAGTTCGTTGCTGTTTTCGACATTATGGCAAATGAGTTTCTCGACCTGACGAGACGCAATCGCATTTCCACACCATTCAACATAAACTTGGCTTGATTGCACAAATCTAGATGTAAATTTCCCACCATATCGATGTACGTACTTTTCTTTACGAAGTCGCGACGTTTCACTAGTCCTGCGTTGTTTGCCTCGCAATCGTCCATTTTGTCGGCTATGTCTTCGTAGAACATTGTGCTGGTGAGATGTGACTTTTTTGCGCTACCGCCGTAGTTCAGTAGATTTTCCAAATAGGCACGATAAGCGTAAGTGTTGTTTTGTGGTGACACCAGTTTGTGATTGATGTACAGATCCACTTGACTAAACAGCGAGTGAAGCCAATTGTTAACCGGTCCCATCTCTTCGACTAACGCCTCTTCCACTTTTGTGCCATCATCTTTCACTATTGTCGCTTCGATGTGCAACAGAGATTGCGTCAAGTCCGTGTATTCTTCTCCGTTAGCCGGTATGACAAACTCTATCGGCGAATCGTCTGTCAAAGACGAGATCGGCTTGTACTGAATCCACTTGCCGTTCTCTATACTAGTCTGAGTAGGTGGTAACGAGAATAAATCCAATTCGGTTTTCACACATTCACACGATTTCTGATGAATGAATGACATTTTTTGTTCTTCTTGTTGTTGTAGGAAAATATCGTCTAATTAAATATATCGTCTATCGACGGTATTCCTCTTGCTACTCTTCTTTTAGTAGATCTATTCCTCCTGTTTCTACTCTTCTTATTGACGCTTTTAACTTTGCTGCTGCTGGCGCCGGAACGTCGAGGTAGTCTTTTTGTTGTAGTTTTACGCTTTTTCTGTCCCTTATTGATAACAGGTCTTTTCATACTCTTCCTCCTCCTCCTTCTCTGTTTTGTTGTGGCAGCGGTGGACGTCCGTACTCTGAGAAGTGTCGCTAACGACTGCGGTGTGACGCGATGGGCACGTCTTTTCTTATATGTGACGGCACGACCACCTCCACTCAATACGCGTTCCAGTTTGTCATCGGCTCTGCGTTTCAATGAGCCGGTGAATTCTTTGAGGCGTGTGACGGCCGCGTACCTCGGATGTTGTGTACCACCGGCGGACACTATGTCGCCGAGGAAACCAACACCTGAACGCAAAGCCTCTTTGCACATGGCGGTTGCACCAGACTTTAGTAACGGCACTACAGACCGCATGAGTCCACTGAGGAAACTGCCGATGCCATGACCGCGCTGGTACGGTGCACCTCTGTACACGGACGATACACCGTTACCCGACTGTTGTAACTGTCGCCGATAGTAGGCCAAATACGGATCGTTCGTATTCATCGTGGTTGTTGCTGCTGCTGCTGCTGTTGCTACTACTGTTGCTGCCACTGATGTTTATGCTGTTGCTGTCGTCTTCGTTGATGTTGTCGCCGTCGTATTCGCCGTCGTATTCGCCGTCGTATTCACCGTCGTAATCGCCGTCGTATTCGCCGTCGAATTCGCCGTCGTATTCGCTGTCGTATGCGCTGTCGTATTCGCTGTCGTCGTCGTTTTAGTTGTCGTCGTCGTTTTCGCCGTCGACGCCGTTTACGTTGCTGCTGCTCGTATATTTATGCCAGGGTGAGCGATCTGCGCAGGTGTAGTTTCATGCACGTAGTCCCAAAGTGGAATGGCAGATGATCGCCTGTGCTGCCCCTTAAGTCAATTTCCACGTTCTCAAATGTGCTCTTGATGACGGGCACGTAATGCGGATCGGTGAAATGCACGGTCTTGTGCGCGCCGTACATGTAGTTTGTCGTATCGATGTTGACTATCTTTAATAACGGTGCCACCGTGTCACCCACCAACTGAGGCTCCACCAAATCACAATACACATACATGTCACCCGGCAGTCCGGCTTGTATGTTGGCCGGCAGTTTGGCTTTCTTGTTGGTCTTCATGTCTGTCTCGACAGGATCGAACCCTAACTGCAGCGCGAGACCGGTGCTCAATTCCATTTGTACTACGTGACTGCGAATCGCTATTTCCACCACTTTGGTGTTTTCATCGTACATGAAAGTGGCGTAAAACCTCAAGCGTTCCATGGCGTTCAACACTTGTATCAACTCGGTGATATCGCTATAGTTGCCAGGCTCCACTTTGAGAATGTCCACTTTGACTTTATTGGTTTTGTCAGCACCGCCAGTGGCTATAGCGCTGCGATCTTCATGGTAGATAAATATCTTCGCATCATCGCTCACCGTCAGAAATGAAGAGGGGTAATGCGCTTCAACTAGAGCCACTTCCCATTCACCATCCGTCAGATGGATAGACGTAGGTAGTTGAGTTATATAATCAGCCACTGTGTTGTTCGGATAGTAATTCATCGAACTGTTACTGGGCAAGGTCAAATAGAACTGATTATATTTACTCATTGTCACTGATACGCGGTTGTTGTCCTTTATAATTGTTTCACTTCTGACGCCGGTATCCAAGAGTTGAACTCGTCGCCGTAACCTTTCCACTTGACGAGATAACGCTTACTGCGGCCACTGCCTTTAGTGTCCAATATTTTATCGATATCGTACAGTTGGTCTGGCGGCACGGTGACTTTTTGCAATTCTTCTTCGTAGAAAAGACCAATCAACGGTGACCCGTTCAAATCGTGCAACACGTACAACGGTAACGGATGATGACCGTACTCGCGGTCCACCACGAACACTTCTTTACTCCAATTCGTCTCGTATCCTTTGGCAAAAATATTTTTTTCTTTTGCAATACGTACCGTATCGCCCGCCACAAATTTTGCCTTTTTACGCTTAGGTAATTTAGTCTTGATGCCGCTGCCACTACTGTACATGTGTCGCCACACTCGATATACGAGTTTCTTATCTTCTTTTTTCACATCAATTGGACGTACAGCTCTGCCGTCAGCAGTAGTACCCAGACTGCTGTGCGCACTGTGATTGTAGGCGTTCACCAGTTGTTGTAGCACATCGATGTAACGGTACGTGTTTTTATACGTAAGATAACGCCACATGCGTGATTTCAAAGTGCGGTTCACACGTTCCACGACCGCCGCTTTCACGTCAGGGTTCTGTGTTGTAACATATCTAACGTCGTATTTTCTGAACAACTGTTTTACCTTGACGCCGGTGAACTCAGTTCCCTTGTCCGTCTGTAGACAGCGCGGTACCGTGACAGAGGGTTTTTTAAATATTTTCTCGAATGCGTCGGCCACTTCTTTGCCGCTTTTTGTTTTCAACGCTATCACGTAAAGTCGTTTACTGAACACATCTATCACTGTCAGCAGATAGTTGACTCCATCGTTGAACGAGCTCAGACCGCGCATATCATTCAAATCCGCTTGCCACAGTTCGTCGGGACCGAACACCACGTAACGGTTGCGGGTGAATCGTTTACGCACCGGTCTGTGCAACGTGTAAGTTTCTTGTGTCCGTAACCAGTCCAGCACTGTTTGCCGTTTTGTCCTCTTCTTCTTCTTAACTTTTCCCTCCTTCTCGCGTATCGCATGTAATAGACGTGTGACACCACCGTATGATGCAGGATCTTCGGGATTGTAGTACACTCGTTTCATGATTTATCCGCACTACGGCGAAAACGGTTCCCACCTGTCCAACGGCGATTGTAATTGATCTCTATCAAGCCATGGGCAAAGAGGCTTTGCGTTCAGGTGTTGGTTTCCTCGGCGACATAGTGTCCGCCGGTGGTACACAACATCCGAGGTACGCGGCCGTCACACGCCTCAAAGAATTCACCGGCTCATTGAAACGCAGAGCCGATGACAAACTGGAACGCGTATTGAGTGGAGGTGGTCGTTTATTATTATTATTATTATTATTATTATTATTATTTGTTGTCATGAGAGCCGAAGCCCCCTGACTGCTTACCCGGTACCTATCCTACAGGACATACCCGGGCCCCATGATGTAGGCCGAAGCTTACGCATCAACCTTTAGCACATCATGGGCGGATGACTTAAGGTCATCAGGCTCGCCGGCTGCCGAAGCAGACCCTTCGGAAAGAGGGTTGCCCCTCAATCCTAACCAGGGATTCCGGCTGCTTGTTTAAGCGTCACTCCACCTGGGTTCCACTAGGTCGGAACCTAGAGGTCCATAGTAGAGCGCCCCGACGCATTTAGTGCAAGCAACACTCGGGACCTATCTCATCCCTGACAGGCAGAACCCGCCATCAATAGCCAGGAGGAAGGGGACCATCAGCACGCTGACGGGGGGAACCCCAACCTCCCATTTACACCGCTGCCCGATCGAGGCCTGACCCATTGCTGGGAACCAGAGATATCCAGAGCGATAGATCCCCAGATACCCCTGGCGGGCTCGGACCCAGCACCCGATCTACTTCGTTTGCCCGTCAGACCCAACATCACTGCCAGGCCATCAGGGTTTCCCAAAAGGAGGCAGGTATAGAAGTGGGACCCACCCGGATGAACCTATCCACCAGAGGTGGCGACACCCTTGACTCAATTGAGGTTCCGGGAAGAACCCCCCACACTCAAGATAACCATACCGTCCGTGCTCAGAGACAGGGATAGGTTTGCATAAGTACCTACAAACCGTTGCCCTCACACTGCGGAAAGTTACGTTGCCCTTGAGTGTCCCCGTGAGCTGCGGGTACTTGCCCGTTTTCACCTCCAGGAAAGGTTACTTCCAAAGTCGAGGATTTGCCCACTGAATGCTGGTCGCACACCACAAGCAGGCCGAAGCCCAAAGTACCACAGACACAGGTAGGTTAGAGATTATGATGTACTTCCATCTCTCCTAGAGCTAAACACCCCTCCATCCTGGATAAAGGAATGTCACTGGGACCCGATGCCCAGTCGACCATGTCTGTGGCCAACTTGAAATGCCGATACCAACACGGAGCATTTACCTCCCCTCTGGGGGCTAGGTATTTCACCTCCCAGGACGAGGCTACTTCCAAAGTCGAGGATATGCCTCACAAAATGTCAGTCGAACACAACAGGTAGGACTCAGTCACAACCACAGTTACAGGTAGTTGAGGAGAGGCGGAATTAACGGCGTCACTGAGAGCTAAACACCCCCCCCCCACCCTGAATGGAGGGAATGTCACTGGAGGCTCCCCCTAAGGGGCTGGCGCTTACCAGTCGTCCATAACTGTGGTCTACCTGAAGTGCCGGGTCTGACACCGGGCAGTTACCTCCCCTCTGGGAGAGCTAGGGTCCGCGTGGTCGCCCAGGCCACGAACCCACGCAAGCGTGAGCCCCCTGCGGAGGTGGTCGTGCCGTCACATATAAGAAAAGACGTGCCCATCGCGTCACACCGCAGTCGTTAGCGACACTTCTCAGAGTACGGACGTCCACCGCTGCCACAACAAAACAGAGAAGGAGGAGGAGGAAGAGTATGAAAAGACCTGTTATCAATAAGGGACAGAAAAAGCGTAAAACTACAACAAAAAGACTACCTCGACGTTCCGGCGCCAGCAGCAGCAAAGTTAAAAGCGTCAATAAGAAGAGTAGAAACAGGAGGAATAGATCTACTAAAAGAAGAGTAGCAAGAGGAATACCGTCGATAGACGATATATTTAATTAGACGATATTTTCCTACAACAACAAGAAGAACAAAAAATGTCATTCATTCATCAGAAATCGTGTGAATGTGTGAAAACCGAATTGGATTTATTCTCGTTACCACCTACTCAGACTAGTATAGAGAACGGCAAGTGGATTCAGTACAAGCCGATCTCGTCTTTGACAGACGATTCGCCGATAGAGTTTGTCATACCGGCTAACGGAGAAGAATACACGGACTTGACGCAATCTCTGTTGCACATCGAAGCGACAATAGTGAAAGATGATGGCACAAAAGTGGAAGAGGCGTTAGTCGAAGAGATGGGACCGGTTAACAATTGGCTTCACTCGCTGTTTAGTCAAGTGGATCTGTACATCAATCACAAACTGGTGTCACCACAAAACAACACTTACGCTTATCGTGCCTATTTGGAAAATCTACTGAACTACGGCGGTAGCGCAAAAAAGTCACATCTCACCAGCACAATGTTCTACGAAGACATAGCCGACAAAATGGACGATTGCGAGGCAAACAACGCAGGACTAGTGAAACGTCGCGACTTCGTAAAGAAAAGTACGTACATCGATATGGTGGGAAATTTACATCTAGATTTGTGCAATCAAGCCAAGTTTATGTTGAATGGTGTGGAAATGCGATTGCGTCTCGTCAGGTCGAGAAACTCATTTGCCATAATGTCGAAAACAGCAACGAACTACAAGGTGCACATTCGAGAGGCCAATCTGTTTGTGCGTCGTTGTAAGATCAATCCCGGCGTGTTGGTGGCGCACAGCAAGACGCTGGAAAGTGGTACGGCCAAGTATCCAATCACACGTGTGGACGTGAAATCCATCACGCTACCGAGTGGTATTCTGGGCAAGACATTGGACAGTGTGTTTCTCGGTCAGTTGCCGAAACGCATAATCGTGGGATTGGTGGACAATGTGGCGTTCAACGGTGATTTCAAGAAAAACCCATTTAATTTTCAACACTTCAATTTGAACTATTTCGCTCTGTACATCGACGGTGAACAAGTGCCATGCAAGGCGTTGACACCGGCCTTCACGGGAGACTCGAAACTCTACGCACTCGCCTATCACACGCTGTTCACCGGCACCGGTATACAGTTCGCCGACAAGGGCAACGAGATCGGCAGATCGGCTTATCCGAACGGCTACTGTCTGATGGCGTTCGACCTGACGCCGGACATGTCGGCCGGCGAATCGAGTCACTGGAATCTGGTACGAAACGGCAATTTGCGCATCGAACTGCAATTCAAAGAAGCGTTGGCCTCCTCCATCAACTGTATAGTGTACGCCGAAATGGACAATGTAATCGAAGTGGACCGACATCGCAACGTGTCTGTGGATTTCAGCGGTTAAATACAAGAACCAACACAGAAATTCACGGCTGCCCCACCACATAGCTCAGTGTCGCACTGACCTTTGATCGTGATGGATCGTTGTTACCTTCAAGCTCCGTCGCACCGACAGAAACAGCAGCAGCAGCAGCAATGTAGGCACAGTGATTGCACAGCTGTGGTTTTGGACTTACAGTGTTTCAAGGACAACAACAACGATTTCATAGTGAAAGAAGCCAGTGTAGTTGACGTGTCGACTGGCACATTGTTATTACATCACATCGCACGTGCGCCGTTCGATCGTGACGCGTTGACTGCGGATAAACTCAGAGAGTCCTATTGGTTGACCAAACATTGTCACGGACTCGACTGGAATCGCGGTGACGTGTCATACTCCGTGTTGATCGATAAATTGCGCACTTGCCTCTCGCGTCGCAGCATCGTATATGTTAAGGGAGTGGAAAAGAAAGAATACATTATCAAGAATCTAATGACAGACGTGAACAACAACAAGTACAATAGATGGAGTGACAATATTACAACTGTGGTGGATTTGTGCGATATTGGCTGTGGTTCACTTGCTTCGATTGGCAATCTACTGTCCGCCAACGTGTTGCGATGTGGTCGACACAAAACCGTACAACACCGTTGCTCGCTCTCAAACTGTACTCTGTTACGTGGCTGGCTACTACTCACCGCTGAAGAGGCGAAAACGACACACTGCTGCCCATTGTACGATGATATATCGTCAACGACAGGAGGACCGTCGCCATCACCATCGCCACCACTGTCACTTATAACACAAGCATCGATGACAGTGACGACTACATCGATCAGTAGCAACGCCAGTCTCAATACTATTCCCGAAGAAGACGAAGAAGAAGAAGAAGAAGACGTGACACAATGAACAGTACTGACATCAAAAGATATTTGTACCAATTACCAAGAGACAGAATCACGCACATCGGAGTGTACGCATCAGACCGTCTACCGACACGTATCGAGCCTTCGACGGCCATAGTGGTGAACACCATGCCACACACGGAGAGTGGTGAACATTGGGTAACCTTCTACATGGACAGTGACGCTACGCATATAGAATATTTCGACAGTTTCGGCCGTCAACCGTATCTGGCTGAATACCAACAGTTTTTAAGACGCAATTCACGTCGTTACATATCCAATAAATACCAACTCCAACGCTACGACACTTCCGTGTGCGGTCACTACTGTCTGACTTACCTGTACTGTCGCATAATGTACGACATAACGATGAATGATTTCATACAGCTGTTTGACGGTGATGCCACTTCCTTCGTGACACCCAGCAACGCTGTTAACAACGATGTTCTGGTTCGAAGACTCTTCGACATGTTTTACCACTGATTTTACTTACCTGTCTTTTATTTCTATTTGGATTGTATAAAAAGCTAATTTAAATTTCAATAAAAATAATAATATAGTTATCTAATGTACATTAGAATAAGTAATGATTGGGAAAAAATAAAAACACAAGTGTATTTTGAAAACAATGTTGGTCTTTTTATTTTCCATCATGACTCTATATAAATCAAAACAAGAACAAGTGAGTGAATATATTTTCAAAATATTTTCTGTACAATTCACAATTATGATCATAATATAAATAAGTGTATATTGATAAAATCTTTTTTTTTCATTTTTACAATTACAGTAATGTTACAGTTGAAATAATTTGATTCTAAATTAAATATCACAGTTTCAAAAAATTATCAAATATCACAGTTGAAAAAAATTGACTTATTAAAAATTGATTCCTAAATAAATTACTATTTATTAATGATAAATATTTGGTATTTTTTTTAAATACATTTTACTAGTATTTGTCCGTCAATTGTCTTTGCCATCACCACCACGACGACGATCTGAGGCTTATGCACCGCAAATACGAGCACTATGTTGATGTTATTGTTGTACTGCTTCAATCTACTTCTTCGATGTCAACGTCGTTATCGCTCGCATCCATTGTCGCTGACGGTGACGATACAATGTTGCGCCGACGGTGGCATCTACTGGCGTTCCCGTTGCAGTCTTCTGGAGCCGATAGCATTGCCCGGTGCGCTGGAATTCTATAGTGGCCCCACGGTAACGTATTGACGCCGTCCTCTTCGATATAACGTTTGTCATCGTACGGCGCCATCGATCGTTTTGACACCACAACGGAGTATATTATGTGGTGCCGTGTCTGAAATCGATCGTTATCCGTGTACAAGACCCGCTGTTCTTGTAGACATCGTCTGTAATCGTCTACAGTCAGGCCTTTGGCCACTACGGCGCGATTCACCCCCTTGGCTCGTTTCACAGGTGGTGTATCGTCGCCGACACCGTCAGTAGAGCTGCGTCTTTCCTCACACACTGCGACATGACGACTGATACTGATCCGCTATAGACGTTTTCTATTTATTGTGGCCGCTGACATTGCTTCTTTTCGGCAGGTACACAGAATTAATCGGATCGTCCGGAAAGATAGTCGAACGAATGCGCATCTCATCCGGTGTGGACTGTTTCAAGTCTATCAATAGATACGCATGCGGATCACGTGTAGCGTCCGCATATGCTTCCTCTATAAAATTTTGTACTATCCGGATAAATTTGACGGGCTAAATGTTTTATCTGAGCCCGATCTCTGGGGTTTTTAAAACACACTATGTAATGAGCATTCAATGAGATGTCTCTCTGACCTCGGCCCTGATGAAATAGATTCTGCGTTATGAAGAAAACACTCAAGTTCCTATGGTGTGAGCCTTTTGTAAATAAATCCACTACACTGTCGTTTGTTTCAAGCATCATGTCGTCCACTATGATCAAATTAGGTACACTACCATCGAAATCGTTCATGTCTGGCAGAGAGTTTTTATACTGGACAATACTGCCTCTGCCACTGTTACTGCTGTTCTGCTGCACATTATCATTTGAGTGAGGATGATGCCAATATATGTTAGCAAAATCTGTATCACATATTTCATTAGCATGGTCTATAAAACGCATGACAAACTGTGATTTTCCAGACCCCGAAGGGCCGGCTACTAAGGCCGAAAATGGATGCTTCCACCTCAAGTCCATCTCACCTACTGACTTACTGACTACACTGACAACACTACAAACTAATTTATAACAATAGGGAATAAGGAGTGTAAATAAAAGACGAATTGATTATGCTCTCAACGTGACTATACGTATTGACTTACAAAACCTATCAAAGTTACAATATCATTTTAAGAAAATTACAATTTTCATTAGATTTGAGGTTAATAAAAATAAAAAAAGTTGATGTACATGAATGTAGTTTTTGTAAAAATTAATTTTAAATTTGTTTCAAACAAACTCCAACAGAGTATATTTACTGCCAGGTGGAGCGCTTCTTCTGACGAGGTTAAGTCTATCTTCGAATCCCCTGTTGTACTGGTCAATGCGTTGATCTGTGATCGCCTCGTTGTAGCGTCGTGGTAGGTAGACACGCATGTAGTGTTCATCGCCGCCTAGTCCCTCCAGCACGGCCATGACAGTCTCTCCGTACGGCGTGGTCACTCGTTCGAATTTCACAATACGATAAGAGCACTCTTCACGGAGATCGACGATCTTCGTGTACGGCGTGTTTACTTGCACGGTGTTGAGTTCATTTTTCAAGTTCATCACACCACTGTTGCTACCTCCACTACCGTTGACACTGACTGTCTCGCATTTCGACATAATAAATGTGTTATTAAAAAAGTTAAAGTCAAGCGAAACTGTACACTCGTTCGATCCACACAGTGGTTGGACGAGGAATGAATTGTTGCAGCAGCGACAGCGCAGTGGTGGAGAGAAAAATGCAGGTGTGTCGCAATATTTCTCAGAATCCACCCCTGTAGAAGTTTCTAGCACAAACCGGTTTTTTGTAGTTGTTTCTTTTTGTTTCGTCCCCTCGACTGCAGCTGCGCGTCAACACGTGGCTTCTTGGAATCATCGCTATTGTTAACATTATTTTTTGTCTCATTCGATTGTATCATAGTCACTGGCGCCACAGAACGTTTCTTCCTTTGTTTAATTCTTCCACCGTTTTCGATTGCGCAATCGATTGGTCTACGCCATGCGGGTAGTGGCATCATCGACTGTATCACACCGTGTATTTTTGGAACTCCCGTCAAACGATCAACCCATAAATTTTCTAATTGTGTCAGTAAATTATTCACACTGTTGTATATTTTATCTCCTTTCTTTTCATTCAAATATATGCCGGAACTGTGTGTTTGCACTCCTTCGTCAAATAATTGTAATTTCAATAAAACTCGACCTCGATTAGCGGGATTCTGTACGGTGTATTGAAAATCTTCGTCTATCCACATTATAACCGGCGAATCATTTGTAGATTTGAATATCCATCCTGCATGTTGTGCGTCTTGTTCAGGTTCTCTTTTTTTAGTTTCGCTGCCACTATCGATTTGTACATATTTCACATCACTAGTCGTCTTCACAGGTTTCTTGATAATTTTCTTTTTCTCATTTTGTTGCAGCTGATGCTCCTCCTCTGCATGATTCATAGGCAAAGTACTAATTGTGTTATCTTCCATCGCATGTATCTCTTCCATAATCAAACGAATAGTTTCTTCCGCATCGGCAATACTCGTAGACATAATATTAATAAACACAAACCGCGCACGTAACGACTGTACTCACTGCACGCGCAGAACTAACTGAATTGTCGGATGTATTGTGATATTGACAGCGTCACTAGCGTGCTGCTGCGGATAAATCAACAACTACTCTGATGTTAGTAATCACAAGATGATGTAATTACAAGCTGACATTACCACCTAGCTACGTGGATGATGTTTCTTCGCTATTAAAAGTATGACCACCGAAGAATGTCTCATTTAAAAACACTTTTCTCGCTTTCTGTAACACACTGTTAATCAATAGCAAACGTCGCATGTCTTTACGTTTACGGCCAACACAAGCTTTATTCAGCGATAGATTAATCATATCTCTAGCACTGATCTCCAT